TCACATGTTATTTCTTGAAATTCCATGTCAGCCAATTCTTTTTTGTACAGTGACTCTGTATGCTCTTTCCATCTTCTTTTAATGCTTCCTGGATCATTCAATATTCTGCCCATAGCATCCTTATGTATTGCAACTCAAGGCTTGAATTTATTCTTCAGTTCCTTTAACTTAAGAATACCAAGTGAGTTTGGCCCTTTTGATTTTCGGACTCCAGCTCCTTGCACATTTCATAATAATACTTTGCCTTGTCTTCTGAGCTGCCTTTTGAAAACTTCTATTCAGCTCCTTAACTTCTTGATTTCTTCCCTTTGCTTTGTCATCTTGGCTCTCTACTGCATCCTGACATCCATATTGGTCTTTTCTTCTTCCTCCTTCCTTGTAATGACCTATTGCATTCTTCATAGATGATATTCTTTATATCTTCCCAGAGCTCATCTGGTCTTTGTTCATTAGTGTTCAAGCCCTCAAACCTGTTCCTGAGTTCGTTTTAAATTTGGGGAGTGGGGGGTAGACTCAAGGTCAAATTGTTATTTCTGTGGATTTGATTTCACTTTCTTTAGCTTTAATATGAACTTGCATATGAGTAGGTGATGGTGGGGTGATGGTCTGTTCCACAATCAGCACCTGGTCTAGTAGTCACTGCTGATATTGAACTTCCACAGCTGTAATCTATCTGATTCCTGTGCATACTATTAGGAGAAATCCATGTGTAGAGCCTGTGTTTACGTTTCTTATAAAAGGTATTTGCTATGAATAAATCACTGATTGTGCAGAATTCTATCATTCTATCCCCAACCTCATATCTGTCACCATTTTCCATCTACTGATCCTTCTTTCTGGTTCCCAACTTTAGCATTCCACTCACCCTTATTATCAATGTGTCTTGGTTACATGTTTGATAGATTTCTCACTGCAGCAGTTGATAGAAATTATCTATTGCCTCTTCTTTGGCTCTGTTTGTTGGTGTACAGTTTTGGTGGGTTTTTAAAAAAAATTATATTGGTTTACTTACTAACAGGTCTTCCTTGTATACATATGGTTTGTCTAGTCAAGTATATTAAATAGGCTTCAGTAGATCCCAGCTATTGTTTGTTGTTATGTGCCATCGAGTGGCCTGCAACTCCTAGCGACCCTCTGTACAACAGCCCTAAACCCTACTCTATCCTGTGCCAATCTTATTGTCTCTGACACACCTACCCTCACCACCCCAGTCACTGAATCAATCCAACTCACCCTGGGTCTTCCTCTCTTGTGCTGTCCCTCTACCCTCCCAAGCATGATGTCCCTCTCCAAGGACTGGTCCCTTCTTACAAAATATGTCAGACAAGGCCTTAGAATCCTTGCCTCCAAGGGGCAGCCTGGTTTCACCCACTCTCAGTTAAACCTGTTTGTTCTCCTGGTAGTCCATGGTATATTCAATACTCTTCTCTAGTACCACAGCTCAAAGGTATCAATTTACCTTCTATTAACCCATAGTCATTATCCAGCTTTCTGATGCATGATAAGTAATTATAAAGACTATGGCCTGGATCAGGTGCACCTTAGTCTCCAGACTGACATCATTGCTCTTCAGTACTCTGGAGAGGTCAGGTCACTCCAGCAGACTTTTCCAATGCAATTCATCTTTTAATTGAGCCTCAGTGCATACTGAAGGCTGCAGTCCTTGACCCTCTGCAGCAAGCGCTTCAGGTCCTCTTCAGTTTGAGCAAGCAGGGTTGTGTCATCTGCATATCACAGATTGTTGATAGACTTTCCACCAATCTTGACCCCACATTTCTCCTCATAGAGCTCAGCCTCCCGGATAATCTGTTCTGCATACAGGTTGAAAAGGTGTGGAGAAAGGACACATCCCTGGCGTACGCCCTTCCCAATTTTGAACCATGCAGTGTTTCCTTGTTCTGTTCGAACGACTGCCTCTTGGTCCAAGTATAGGTTTCTCATTAACATGATCAAGTGTTTTGGGATTCCCATTCTTCTCAGAGTCAGTTTGTTATGATCCACACAGTCAAAAGCCTTTGCATAGTCAATGAAACACAGATATACATTCCTCTGGTATTCCCTCCTTTCAGCTAAGATCCATCTAACATCAGCTACAATATGCCTAGTACCACGACCCCTTCTAAACCCAGCCTGGACTTCTGGCAGTTCTCTGCTGATTTGTTGTTCCAGTCATTTTTGGATAATCTTCAGTAGAATCTTGCTTGCATGTGAAATTAATGAATTGTTCTATAGTTTCCACACTCTCTTGGGTCACCCTTCTTTTGGATGGTAACAAATATAGATCTCTCACCACTGGGCCAATTGGCAGCATCAGGATGGATGGTGAAGAGACTGAGATTGTTCATAGCTTTAGTTTGCTTGGCTCCACAGTCAACACTCTCAGCGCCAATAGCCAGGAAATTAAAAGACGTATTGCCTTGGGAAAGTCTGCTGTTAGGGACCTCTCCAAAGTACTGAAGAGCAATGGTGTCTCTCTGGAGACTAAGGTGCGTCTGATACAGGCCATGGTCTTTGCTATCACTTGTTATGCATCAGAGAATTGGACAATGACTAAGGAGGACAGAAGGAGAATTGATGCCTTTGAGCTCTGGTACTGGAGAAGAGTACTGAGGGTACGATGGACTGCTAGGAAAACAAACAGATTCATCCTGTAAAGGGTTAAACCGGGTGGCTCCTTGGAGGCAAGGATTCTGAGGCTCCGTCTAACATAATTCGGACATGTTGTAAGGAGAGACCGGTCCTTGGAGAGGGACATCATGCTTGGGAGGGTGGAGGACAGCACAGGAGGGGAAGGCCCTCTATGAGGTGGATTGATTCAGTGACTGGGGTAATCGGGATGGGTGTATCAGAGACAGTGCGATTGGCACAGGACAGAGCAGAGTTTAGGGCTGTTGTATATAGGGTCACTATGAGTCACAAGTGACTCGACGGCACATAACAACAACAACAACAGTACTAAGGGTGTTGATAGTAGAGACAAACAAACTGAAGCTGTTTACAATCTCAATCTCTTCACCGTCTATCATGATGCTGCCAATCAACCCAGTGATGAGAATCTTTTTTTCCCTTGATCTTGAATTTCAATCCATACTTACTGCTGCAGTCCTTGACCTTCTGCAGTAAGCGCTTCAGTTCCTTCTCAGTTTCAGTATGTAGGGCTGGTTGTGTCATCTGCATAATGCAGATTGTTTGTGAGTCTTTCTACAATCCTGATGCCACATTGTTAGTTAACAGCTTGTTAGTTAACAGCCAGTGCCTAGTTGAATAGTATCCTTAATATCAAATGCAAGTAAGATTCTGCTGAAAATTAGCCAAAAACGACTGGAGCAGCACATCAACAGAGAACTGCCAGATGTGTAGGCTGGGTGTAGAAAAGCTTGTGGTACTAGGAATATTATAGCTAATGTTAGATGGATCTTGGCTGAAAGCAGAGAGTACCAGAGGAATATCTGTGTTCATTGACTATGCAAAGACATTTGACTGTGTGGCTAACTCTGAGAAGAATGGGAATCCAAGAACACTTGATAGTGCTTATGTGAAACGTGTACTTGGACCAGGAGGCAGTCATCAGAACAAAGCAAGGAAACACTGCATGTTTCAAATTCAGGAAGAGTGTACACCAGGTATTTGTCCTATCTCCATACCTTTTCAATCTATATGCAGAACAGATCATCTGGGAGGCTGGACTCTATGAGTAGAAATGTGGCATCAGATCCCACCTGAGGTGTCAAAAATAACCCCAGAACAACCAACCAATGCTTCATGAAAAGTCTTGCCCCCCAAAAAATGGACTTACATGAACTTGAGGAATATTGACTTCAAACCCTTCCAATTTAGTCATGTGAGTAAGGTAGACAGACTCTTAGAACTAACCCAAAGACCCACCTTAGGGAGAAGCTTTGTAATGCTTGGAAACATGGAAAGTCAGACAAAGAGAAGAAGATCTTCAGTAAGATGGATTGACACAATGACTCTAACAATAAGATCAAGTAGATAGTGAGGATGACAAAGTATAGGGTTTCCAGCTGTTGTTCATATGGTCCCTGTGAGTTGTACTTGACTTGAGGGCATCAGATAACAAACAGCTAGTGCCTAAGTGACTCCCCACCAGGTACCAGTGGTTCACGAAGTGAGATCTTGGCACTCAGACACCAAGGACATTTGCATCTATAAATAATAGTTACTCTGGAAATAACAATTTTTTAAATATTGGTTTCAATATAAAATTAATATACATTGTGTTTCATTCATGTACATTTTGTTTCACATATTCCTTCATTCGCATTATGTTTCATGTAATTATTCATATGTTGTTGTTGTGTGCCATTGAGTCGCCTGTGACTCATAGTGACCCTATCTATGTACAAGAGCCCTAAACTGCAACAATGAATGAATGGAAACCCAAAATCTCTGTAAATGTTTGTGAAAATTAATAAAATATAATTATAGAAAAAAAGAAGGAAAAAAAAGAGCCCTAAACTGTGCTCTATCTTGTGCGAACCTGTCTCCAACACACCTACTCTCACCACCCCAATCACTGAATCGATCCATCTCATTGAGGGTCTTCCTCTTCTGCATGTCCCTGCACTCTCCCAAACATGATGTCCCTCTCTAAGGACTGGTCCCTCATTGCAACATGCCCAAAGTATGTCAGACAAAGCTTTAGAGTCCTTGACTCCAAGGAGCAGCCAGGCTTTACCCTCTCCAGGGCAAACCTGTTATATTCAGCACTCTTCTCCAGCACCACAGCTCAAACGCATCAATTAATACTCATAGTGTTTTATAAAATCAGTCACCATCGACCTATGCCTGCTATTTGGAGTAATAATATCTTGGTTTCTGATGACAAAATTCTTCTGCACAGGCTACCAGCTATTGGGTGAAAAGAAGAATATAATGATTCCTTGAATTGGAATAGAGTGGGAGTAGAAATGCTTGCTATGGGGAACTTTCACATGTCTCAGTGTGTTCCCCAGATGCTTATATGTTACCATTTACAGGAATTACGTTGCCTTGTAATATTACCGGATCATATGGTCCATCAGGGCTCCCCGGAACATCTGGAGCACCAGGTATGTAATGAGGTCAGAGGAAGCCACTGAATGCAGAGCTGTAAAAGGGCTCTGAATATTTGAGTAAGAGTATACAGCGGAGCAGCACTTGGGAATCCAGATACCTCCTGACAGAGGAGCTTTGGGAGAAGGGAGGTGAGAGAATACCTACTGGAGATGGCAGTGTGGGGAAATGAGGAAAGAAGAGGCTCCCCCAAGAGATTAGGAGCCTTACTTTAACATCAAAAATCCCCCCCCATTTTTCCTTCCTTTCACTACTTGTATTTGGGGTTTCAGGTCCAAAAGGACCCCGTGGCTACCCTGGTCCCCCAGGTCAGCCTGGTCAGCGGGGTGTTAAGGGAGAGCCTGGAAATAGTGGATTTGTTCATCTTCCTGAACTGCCAGGTGAGAAAAGGAACTGCTTTTATGCTTTTGTATGTGTTTGAATTGTGACAGCCCCTTGCCAATTACAAAAAGCTCTAGTGAAGGTTTGATTTCATACCCATGTAAGACATAGCTCAGAGCACATCTGAGTAATAAGGACTGTTGGGAGATCAACCGAGACAACCTTTTCATTCTCAGATGAGGGAGCTCAGACCCTGATGGAAAATGGCCGACCTAGGAGTCAGGGAGTTTAACAGCCAGTTCTATGGGAGTGTTCTAAATCATCTCTTTAAATTAGGTCAGGAAAGGAGATTCTGATCAGTTAGAATTGTCCACTTCACTTTTCTCCCCTTTTTTTCCTGGCCTGTTCCAACCTGTGCGTCATTGTTCAACTCTTGATCAGTGGTTCTCAAAGTGTGGTGCCTGAACCCGAAGAAGAAGCTACAACAAATGTGTCAGATATGCAAACCTTTGGCTCCTCCCCAAGGCCAGATGATTAGGTGCTATTAAGTCAGCTCCTTCAACTCTTTGCAGTTCTGTACACAAGAAGACAAAAACCTCCCCCTCTTGCACCATCCTCACAGCCTCTGTTCAGCCCATTGTTGTGATCACTGCGTCAGCCCATCTCATTGAGGGTCTTCCTCCTCTTCACTGACTCTCTACTTTTCCAAGCATGATGTCCTTCTCCAACCACTGGCCCCTCTCGACAACACTGATCAGACGCATGGAGGCAGAGGCCTGTGCTCTCTGTTTTAACAAGCATTCCCCACCCCAGCTGATTCCAGTGGTGCTCAATCTAGAGAGCCACCACTTCCAGAGAATAAGTGATGCCTGAATTCCTTTTCCCCTCCCAGGAAAAGGGAGGAATTCCAGCTGGAGAGGTCAGGGCTCTTGCTATAATGTCTTCTGTGTTTTTCCCAATTTTAGGAGCCTTCATCTTACTTGGCTCCACAGTCAATACACTTGGTACCAGCAGCCAGGAGATCAGGAGATGTACTGCACTTGGCAAGTCTGCGGTCAGAGAGCTCTAAAAATTATTGAGGAACAGTGATATTAGTTTGAGGACTAAGGTGCACCTGATTCAAGCCGTGGTCTTTTTGGTCACTTGCTATGCATCTGAGAGCTGGAGAGTGAATAAGAATGACAGAAGAATTGATGCTTTTGCACTGTGGTGTTGAGGAAGAGTATGGTGTGCCAAAAAACCAAACAGACATTTCTTGGACAAGTTGCAGCCAGAGTGCTCTTTGAAGGCAAAGATGACAAAGCTTCATTTCACATGCTTTGGATGTGTTGTTAGGGGAGGCTGTTCCTTGCAGAGGGAAATCATGCTTGAAAAGGCAAAGAGGAAGACCTCCAACCAGGTGGATTGACACAGTGACTGCAGCAATGATTGTGAGGACAGCACAGGGCAGGACAGACTTCAAATCTGTTGCTCATAGGGTCACTCTGAGTTGTACTTGATGGCATCTATCAACAACAACACAAGCAGGTTGTTGGACTCAAGGGCCAGGCCTGACTGAAACAGCACCGCCTCATGGTCACATGGTACAGTTCCTGCCTCATGGCTCACCCTCCTATGACGAGAAATTCCTGATCTCTAAGATAAAAGGCACACAGTATAAATACAAGCATACCCTGAAGATAGTGTATTCAGACGACTGCAATAAAGCGAGTCCCACGAATGTTTCCCAGTGCCTATAAAAGTTATGTTTGTACTATCCTGTGGTCTACTAAGTGTGCATTATGGAAGACTTTGAAATATTGCAATTACCAAAATATGGCACAGAGTCACAAAGTGAACAACATCCTGCTGGGAAAATGACACTGCTAGATATGCTTGATGCCAGGTTGCCACAGACTTTCAATATGTAAAAAGAAAAGAAAATACAGTCGCTGCAAAGCATGCGCATGTGCACACACACACACAGAGAGAGAGAGAGAGAGAGGCATAACTGTATTCCAGCTTAATAAAACATGTATGGGAACCCAAAGGGGAAAGGGGAAACAGTGGCGGGTTAAGGATGGGTAGGGACAAAATCACAGGGTTGCACAGTTTGGTGGGTGGAGGGAGGGGGAAGGAAATGGGAAGGATTCTGGTAAAAAAATAAGATAATTATGGGTAAGGTGCAATGTTGATTAATTTTATAAAACATAATGCATGGGAATGATTGTATGAAACACAATATGAATGAAGAATAGGGTAAAACTATGTATATAAACTTTGTAAGCAAACTAATATAAATATTTAAAAAAAATTTGATTCAGAGAGCTCTACCCAGATGAATTCTTTCAAATCATCCATGGCCTTTCCCCCTCTCCCCTCTTTACATTTAGGATTTCCTGGACCTCGTGGGGAGAAGGGCTTGCCTGGTTTTTCCGGGCTCCCTGGAAAAGATGGCTTGCCCGGAAAGGCTGGGAATCCAGGCTCAACAGGCCCCAAGGGAGCCCCTGGTGACATCTTTGGTGCTGGAAATGGTGCTCCAGGGGATCAAGGCCTTCAGGGACTGCCAGGGGACAGAGGATCTCCTGGAGACTCTGGCCTTCCAGGACCTAAGGGTGACTCATATCTAACATCCTACAGCAAACCTTTCAGTAGCTGGGGCACCTAGACTTGCATGAGTGGGGTCTTCTGGGGTGATGGATTACTTAAGGGGTTAAAAATCAAGCATCATTTTGTTCTGTTCTTTTAAAAAAATAAAATTCTTTCTATAGCCTGAGTCAATTTGCCTGTATCTTCATAATTGCAGAAATGTCAGTAGTAATTGCTTGCAAAGCCTCTGCTTCCCTGCTGGGAATATAACTAGGATATAGCTGAGAAAATAGTGGTGCCTCTTATGAGTGCTGAGCCACGCTCTTCCTGTGGAACTCTGCTTTCGCAACCCTGTCCTGGCTGTCAGTCTAAACCGTGTCCATTCACCCCTTCCTTTCTCTAGGTTTGACTGGAAAACCTGGGCTGTTAGGTACCAAAGGAGAGAGAGGCAGTTCTGGCCCACAAGGACACATGGGTCCATCAGGCCCCCCAGGGCATAGTGGTTTGCCTGGCATAAAGGGAAAATCTGGTCCTCCTGGAGAAATAGGCTTACCTGGAATAACAGGTAGGTCCTTTGGAAGAACCGCTCTAGGTTGGCCAACTTCAGCTCAACTCTGGGTCCAGATGCCAGAGGGGCAACAGCAGAAATGTGGGATGGACCTAATTGCAATGAGGCTTAACATCCCTAATCTTTCAAGTCAACCTTGAGTGCCAAGCAGAGCAGACTTCTGCAGCATAACTCCTACAATATTGCAACAAATAATTTCCCTCTTAACCATGAGGAGTCACTGGGTGGCACCAACAGTTGAACGCTTGGCTACTAACAGAAAGGTTGGTTTGAATTCACCTGGAGGTACCTCAGGGGGGAAGAAATCCCCTCAAAATCCTGGCAATCTAATTCTGAGCTCTAATAGTTTAATGGTAAGGGGTTGCACTGCCAGCCCAAAGACAAGTGGTTCGAATCCATCAGCTACTTTGGGATAAAGATGGTAATCTCCTCCCATGCGAAGTACTGCCTCTGAAACGCCCCCTTGAGGGTCAACTATGGGGAGGCTGTAACCGAGGGTATAAAAACAATAGTCTGCTTCCAAAAAGTCACAGTCATGAAAACCCAACAGAGCACACAGTTCAACTCTGCAATATATGGGCTTCCTGTGAGTCCAAATCACCTGGAGGGCAGTGGGCTTGCTTTCGTTTTCCCCTCCCCCATATCCTCACTTCCCCTTTTCATGCCTCAGCCCATCTGTCCCTTGCCTTCTCCAGTTAGGGAGGACACCCTTGTTGTTGAGGTTAGTCTACCCCTGTCTCCACTGCTTTCACTGGAGCAGTGGGAATGCCTGTCTTGGGTGTGAGGAAAAGCTGGAGTGGAATGTGACTGGCCTAGCACCCTGCCTCTTCAGATGGTCATAACCCTGAGGGCCAATGGCCAATATGTCTTTCACTCAGCAGCGGGGCCTGCTACACTCTGGTTCCAGCCTAATGTTTGTAGTATTCCTTCTTCTAGCACCATCTTCCTCATCCTGCCTGTATTGTTGCTATAGTACAACCACCATTGTCCCTTACCCTCTACCCCCTACCCCCACCCTATACACACATTCCTGGCTAAGGGACTGAAGTCATTTGCAGAGACACTTCTATGCTTCTCCTCCTCCTCCTTTGCCCTTCTGCATTTCTGGGGTTATCACATACGCTGAAAAGAGAGCTCATAGACCAACTATGGAGCAACTAGTGGTAAGGAGCTGTGCTGCAATCCCAAAGGTATGCGGTTCAAATCCACCAGCTAGCTCTTCAGCAGGAGAAATATGTGCAGTCTCCTCTGGTGCCCTTAAACTGCCTCTAAAAACTCGCCAGAGGGTCAGCTGTGAGTCCATTCAGACTTGAGGGCACACAGCACACACCTCCTTTGTCCTCTGTGTTTCTAGGATCATCACATAGGCTGGCAAGGTGAGAAAACAGAACTCTCAAGCTCATAAACTGACTAACACCCTCACCAGCTTTGACGCTCAGAGAATTATCTTACTATACACTATATATAACAAAGGCCAGTAATCTCCAAACTCATGTAGTGGAGATGGCTCCTATTGAATTTCCTTCCCTTGTATTGGGTCTCCCTTCACAGCCTTTCATACGAATCCTGGGGCTTGCAACTACTTGATGCTGTTCAATCCTTAGAAAGCCAAATCAGCCATTCATTTAGGTCCTCAGGGGCCCAAATACCTCTGTCATCATTGATTTAATCCTTTGTGTTTTTCATTTCCTTGCTTTGTACCTGAATATTCCACTTTGGCAGCAGCTCAGGAGGTTAATCCCATTGACCAATTTGAAGCATGATTAAAATCTCAGAATACCTAGGAGACCAAATGGGCCTTGGGGATTTCCACAGTACTTGGCACTAGGGAGTCTTTCAACCATAATGCCAAGGAACTGGCTGATTTAACTGCTTGCATGAGGGATTAAAAGGGCAGCCCTGTATCCATGGCTCCCTGGGAGGCTGAAACAACAGCTCAGCTTTAACCTCTCCTTCACCGATTGGCTCAGGAAACAGCCATTGTGAGGTGGTTCAGAGAGGAAGTACCAGAAAACTGGAGCTCAGTGGCCACCCTGGCTTCCCAGAGCTCCATTCAAAGGCTAAAGTGCAAACCACATTCATAGCGGGTGGAGAAGGTATAATCAGAAAGGCTTTGCTCTCCCAGCCAGCTACTGTGCATTGCTGGAAGTAATTGCCACTGGTTTGGCACTCTGGGTGGTAGATGCTAGTGTTTCAGCTGACTAAGAACTCTGCCTGCTAGTAGCCCGCATATGCCAATGTTAAAGAGCCATTAAAAAAACTTAACCAACCTGAAGCCATGGGAATGGGCAGTGGCCCAGATGGAGCCAGAGCTTCGCCTGAGAGCTGTTCTGTTCTTTCTTGTGTTGCTTCAGGACATGCTGGAATGAAGGGCTCAAGAGGTGAGGCAGGTCACCCTGCATCAACTGGAAAGAGAGGTTTGCCTGGACTCAAAGGCCTTCCTGGATCCCCAGGGCTAAAAGGCTTCATGGGAAATTCAGGTTTACCAGGGAGCACAGGGCTACGAGGCCTCCCAGGCCCAAACGGTAAGTGAAGTGTTTGCCAATGAGGTGCACCCAAGCTGCCCAGCTTTGCTTTCCTCCTAACTGCCAAGGAATGTGAGAGGACAGGGAGGGGGGTAGACAAGGATTTTGGCTGCAGGTTCATTGTTGTTATGTGCCATTGAGTCACCTGCAACTCATAGCGACCATATGTCCAGCAGCTCTGAATCCTGCCCCGTTCTGAGCCAGTCTCACTGACTCCATCACACCTACCCCCATTGCCCCAGTTACTGTGCTTGGCTAATGACAAAAAACAAAACAAAACAAAACAACCAAAAACACCCCAACCCAAAAAACCAAAGACCCACTGGCATAGTGTTAGATGTCGGATGGCTTTCCAAAAGGTTAGCGGTTCGAGTCTACCAGGCACTGTTTGGGGGAAAAGTTGGGCAGTCTCCTCCTGTAAAGATTTACAACCTTGGAAACCCAATGGAGAATTGGCACGAGTTGCAGCTGACTCAATGGCAGTGGGCTAAAAGGAGCCCTGTGGTCACAGTGCAGTCTCTGCTGCCCTTCTCAACACAAGGCAGTTTGAGCCCACCGGTTGCTACGTGGGAGAAGGGTGGTTAGTCTCCCCCTGTAAGGATTTACAGCTGTGAAAATTTGATGGGGGTTGCTGAGAGTCCAAATCAAATTAACGGCAATCTATCTGATGGGGAATCAGTGCTAAAGAAGGACACCCCCCAACCCCAGCCCTCAGCCAAGGTGAAGGACTTTCACTGTATCCTGGGGGGACCACTGGACCAAATAGAATGGTCAGTAAAACTGCCCAGGACAGCAGCAGCCACACTGAGTTTCCTCAACTTGCACCACCTTTACCATTGAACTTGATTGAGTTCACTTCCTGTGTCTGCACCACTCTATGTTATATACAAGGAAAGTGGCTCGCCCAAGGTCATATAACTGGTTAGCAGGAGAGCTTAGGTGACTCCCTCTTGGCCCTAAATAATTTTCCCCCCTGTGCCACAAAAAAACTCTAAACTTGGTGATAGCTGCCTGTTGTAGCAGAATGTATAATGATGTATAATGATGTATAATGATGAACATCATGAGAGTTGACTGTAAAACTTGGACTTTTTTATAGCTTCCTCGCTGGGCAAGTTATTTGACTTCTCTGAACCTCAGTATCTTTATACATAGGTGAGAGATAATAGAAATTCTTATTTCTCACCAGGAGAGAAGGGCTCCAGTGGACTGATTGGTTTTCCAGGGATACCGGGTCTCCCTGGTATGACTGGTGCAAGTGGATTAAAGGGATCCCCAGGGTCATCAGGTCAAACTGGGATATCTGGGCCTACAGGTATCCCTGGAAAAAAAGGTACATGGGGGAAAGAATTTTGGAACTAACCCCTACACTTCCAAAGGCAGATTTTATTTATGGACTTAGGCATTTCTGTCACTTAACAATTTAGACAATAAGATTGTTGGTTTCTGAATTAACATGCTTTGAAGCAAAAATACCTCATCACTTAACATCACATGTTAGAAGCCTTGGTTGTGTAGGGTCCAAAGTTGATTGTGGACTTTGGCCTTGTAGGAGAAGGCATAAAGAGAAATGCAAATGTGGGGGGAATGAGAGCAGGGAAGAACACAGAAGGGTCCAGAAAGTGAACTGATATGGGAAGAATTGCTCTGATAGGTCAGCCCTCACCCCACATCTCTAAGTTCTCTCTCCATCTGATCTCTGTCCCTGCAGGAGACAGAGGTGACCCAGGACCAGTTGGGACATCCAGCCCGAGACCTCCAACACTTAGTGTTTGGTTTAAAGGAGAAAAAGGCTCCCAAGGCTCAGCTGGTTCAGATGGATTTCCTGGGCCCAGAGGTGCAGGGGCAGGGAATGGGCAGACAGAAACCCCCAAAAGGTTTTAGGACCAAATCTGACCTTCTTTCTGAGAATGGAACTCCATGACAAGGTTTCTTAGAGTACCAGGGGTGCAAAGGAAGGTACCTTACCTGAGCCTGAGGAGTGCCTGGGCTCTAAGACGGCCATCTGCCATTGTTGCTGTGGACCTGAGCTTTTGACCTGTAGGCTGTGACACCCTGGAGGAGCCTGGGTAGGGGCTGGGGGGAATGGGGTGCAGCCACTGAGCAGCACTCCCTGAGGGGTGTTCCCTAAGGCTGAAGGCACCTTCTCCATGCTCGCCCCTCTCTACCTACACCAAAGGCTGCACTGTGCGCTTGGGGCTCTCAGGACCTGCACCTTGGCAAGTAGCTTTTCTCTTTCCCACATAGTCTCTTTCCAAGCCCTTTTGCATCTTTCCTAGGTCACAAAGGACAGGCTGGCTATCCGGGGTTACCAGGCCTCCCTGGAGCTACTGGAGAGCCTAATAATATCAGAGGACTTACTGGAAGACCAGGACTTCCTGGTTCCCTGGGCCCACAGGGCTTGCCTGGCATAAAGGGGAACACTGGGATCACAGGCTTCCCGGGAATGCCTGGAGAGATGGTAAGTGGACCCAGTTCTTTTTGGTTTTCCACTGGGAAAGAGTCTCCTGTCACAGAAGGAAATGCCCCTGTGGTCCATCTTTCGGACCTCAACCTACTTCCCAGCCCCTTCCCCCAAGATGTTCTCCAATAACTCCTTCTTCTTGAGTCTGATTGGGTCTTCTTATCCTCCTTTGGTGCCTTTGTTCATGCCATTTCCTCTGCAGGTAGGGCTTCCTTCCTCTTCGAAGTCATCTAGTACTTCAGGGCCCAGCTCGAGTCCAACCACTTCCGGAAACCCTGAACTCTGACTATGCTGATCTACACTTGTGCTCCCACGGCTGGGTCTACGCTGGTCAGATTTGCTCAGCATGACCAGTAAAGCTTGAGAATGAGGATTTCCTTACGTGCTTTCTTGTCTGTGCCCCACTGCCAGCATCCTACCTGGCGTCTACCACTTTATAATAATTAAAAACAGACATTTTGATGTCTTGCTTTTGGAAGGCCTCATGAAGTTTCAGGAGAAGCGACAGCTGACAAATCCATTTCTCTGAGCTCATAAAAGGCGGTAGAGTGGGCTTTAAGAAGGAGAGAAACTAGCATATGAATCTCCACATCGACACTGTGTATTGCTTGCCTACTGTAAGCCTCATTTTGCTCATTTGTTTAAAAATGGGGAATAGTATTCAAACCACCTTCACATAGTGAGATGGCATCCGTGTAAAGCACTTAGTGAGAGGTAAGTGAGATGAAAAATATAAAGCACTTGGCACACAACAGGCTCTAGGTAAGTAGTAAGAAACCAATATTAGTGTCCAAGGAATAAACGAACTGAAGTCTCTGTCCTTGAGAAATACCAGTTCGTCTGGTGGAGAGACCACACACAACACACACACGAAGCAATTGTTACAGAAATAGTCTGAACTGGGTGGTCTTGACTAGCACACATTAGGAGATGGGAAGCAAAATGGTAAGGTCTTCCGGGAAGACGACTCTGCATGAGCAAGAGTTTAGTAGTAAATAAGAATCGATGCCTTTGAGCTGTGGTGTTGGAGAAGAGTACTCAATGTGCCATGGCCAGCCAAGAAGACAAACACATATGTCTTGGGAAACGTGCAGCCAGAGTGCTCTTTGGAGGCAAGACAGTGAAACTATCTCACATACTTTGGGTGTGTCGCTAGGAAGCACCAGTCCTTGGGGGAGGGGGGAAGATCAAGCTGAGAAAGGTGGAGGCTCAGATCAAAGAGAAGGTCCTTAACAGGGTGGATTGACATCGCAGCTAACAATGGGTGTGAGCACATGACATATGGTATGACTGGTACAGGATAGGGCGAGATTCAGATGCACTGTTTATTGGGTTGGTATGACTCATAGTCAACTTGATGGCACCTAACAACAATGACAAGAAGGCAATATTGCCTCATGGGCGGGGAGCTGTGCTGCTACCCCAAAAGTGGCACCTCTCTGGCAGTTAAAATCCACCAGCTTCTCTTTGGCAGTTTGAATCCATCACTTGTACAATTTACACACTCTCAAGACTCAGTGGAGGTCAGCTATGAGTTGATTCCAACTTGATGGCAACAAGGTTGAGGGATTTGGGGAAGGTAATTGCGATGGGAAAGTCTGCTGTTAGGCCCCTCTCTAAGGTACTCAAGAGCAACGGTGTGTCTCTGGAGACTAAGGTGCATCTGATACAGGCCATGGTCTTTGCAATCAGTTGTTATACATCAGAGAGTTGGACAATGACTAAGGAAGATAGAAGAATTGATGCCTTTGAGCTTTGGTGCTGGAGAAGAGTATTGAGGGTACCATGGACTGCTAGGAAAACAAACAGATTCATCCTGGAGAGGATTAAACTAGGCTACTCCTTGGAGGCAAGAATTCTGGGGCTCCGTCTGACATACTTTGACATGTTGTAAGGAGGGACAGGTCCTTGGAGAGGGACATCATGCTTGGTAGGGTGGAGGGACAGTGCAGGAGGGGAAGGCCCTCTATGAGGTGGATTGATTCAGTGACTGGAGTAATCGGGATGGGTGTGTCAGGCAGTGCGATTGGCACAGGATAGAGCAGGGTTTAGGGCTGTTGTACATAGGGTCACTATGAGTCGCAAATGACTCGGTGGCACATAACAACAACAAAAATAGACGCAAAAGCGTCAGAAGGGGGGAAAAATGTGTGGAAACATGGGTGTCCTGGGTAGTGGTACAGAAACAGTAGTCCAACGACAGAGCTCAGAATTCAGGTAGTGGTACAGAAATAGTGATTCAGTGACAGAGCCCAGAACTCAGACTTCTACCCACCGCACATTTGTCTTCACTGGGCAGATCTCAGAATCACTCAACCACACCAGAGAGAAAATCATCCTGATGGCAGCAAACTCACTCCCAGACTCAAGGTTGTAGGTTGAACATTAGCTAGAGGAGGCAGTTTTTCCTGGTGACGGCCCAAATGCAGACTTCAGCACTTGTGCAGATGCCACCTGCTCCCCAGTCTAAGACAGAGCTTGTGTTCCCTGCAGAATCGGTAGTAGGGGGCGAGCCCTGCCTGGGAGACAAACAACTTCTTTTTGTACATAATGAATGGCACCAGATCCCTGACGTGGGAGATGGTAGGTAGCAGACTGTCTACAAAGCACAGGAAGTACCGGACCTGACTGTCAATCTTTGTATTTCTCTAAGAGACTTTCTAAAGCAGCCAGATCTTGATTTCCCTAGATTCCAGTGTTGGTGGGCAGTGGGACGTCGTGAATGACAAGACCAGGATTAATCTGTGATTCCAACCCCTCCCTTAAAAGTCTTAAGTGTGTACCTCTGCCCTTCACTCAATACCTTCCTGTTTACAGACTTAATTCTTTCCTCTCCACAACCGCTGCCACTACCCTGGCCGCAAAGCACATTGTCCCAGGAAGTGGGAGGGTGGGCTGGAGGGTGGGAAGCCCTGAACTCTGGGCAAAAATAATGATTGTTATATTCCTTTGAAGGGCACACAGGGTCTTGATGGGGCCCCTGGGCTTCCAGGAATTGCTGGTCTCCCTGGTTTGAAAGGTAAGGGGTATTTCCTGTTTATTTTAATGTACTGTTTTAGGGCAAAATTGTTCCTAGCAGGCTTAGAGGACAGTCAATCATTTACATTTCATCTTTAGACAAAGCCCCTTTGCAGCCCTTGGTCCTTAGAGAGGATGCAACAAGCAGTAGTCCCCACTGGTGCTTTCACACTTTAACTAAGGAAGAGGCTTGTCTTTTTTTTTTTTTCTTTCTTTCTTTCTTTCTTTTCTGTGTGTTTTGACCTATCTGCTTTCCAGTCTTAGAGTAGAGAGGAACCTTGACTCTAATCCTTTTAAACCCCTTTCGAAGCCAGTCCACTGAGCAGGAGAATACCCTGCCTTTGCTGTCATCACTTTCAATCTGATGCTCTATTTAAAAAAAAAACAACAACAAAAAACAAAAAACTGATTTATTTACAAAGTTCGAATACATTGTCTGATGCTCTTTTAAGGGACCTCCTATCATAGGGAGCTAGGGTGGCCCTAGTGGTAAGAAGTGGTCATACTACCCCAAAGCATGTGGTTCTTCTATGGGAGAAAGATGAGCAAGTCAACTCCCATGCGATGTACTGCCTCCTGAAAGCCCACTCGAGGGTCAACTATAAGTTGGTTCCGACTCAACAGTACATAAAACCAACAACCTATCTCAGCCCTTATTGAACCTAATGATATTTCTCAGTATAGACAGGCAGCATGGAGCAGCATGGCATGCCACTCACTTGGCGATGTCTCACAGCTCCTTGTTAGGGATTGGTCACCTCTTATCCAATGGGGAATTTTTGTAATTTTTTTTTTAACCAGTTTACTAGTCCGTATACATTGTTTCTCCCACTGGATCTTTCCCCTTTCCTTTACCCACCCCTCCCTCCACCCATCAAATTGTGTGACCCTCTGATTAAGCTCCCCTTCCCCTCTGCCCATCCTCACCCCTCTGCTCCTCTTTCCCCACCTTGGATTTTATTGGTCTGCATACAATCACTCATATACATTGTTTTATTAGATTGTGGGATGTTTGCTTTTTAATTTTAGTATTTTGTGTGTGTGTGCCTTCAAATCAGATCTGACTGGCACAGGAAGAGATTGTCCCTCCTTCACCAGCAGAGCACCTGGTGGATTCGAACCATGTACCTCCAAGATTGCAGTGCAGCTTCTTGCCACTAGGTCATCAGAGCTAGTTTGATTGTGTTTTGTACAATTATTCATATGTTGTTATTGTTGTTATGTGCTGTCGAGTTGCTTGCGACTCAGAGTGACCCTATGTACAAGAGCCCTAAACTCTGCTCTGTCCTGTGCCAATTCCACTGTCCCTGACACACCCATCCCAATTACTCCATTCACTGAATCAATCCACCTCATAGAGGGTCTTCCCCTCTTGCGCTGTCCCTCTACTCTACCCAGCATGATGTTCCTCCTTACAACATGTCCAAAGTATATCAGATGAATCCTCAGAATCCTTGCCTCCAAGGAGCCACCCGATTTAACCCTTTCCAGGATGAATCTGTTTGTTTTCCTAGCAATCCATGGTACCCTTCAATACTCTTCTCCAGCACCACATTTTAAAGGAATTCATTCATATACGTTGTCCTTTATCTAATTAATTACTATTACTCAATTCCTATTATCACCATATATTTTCAAACCCTCATTGCTGCTTTCCTATTCCTTCATCCCCTTATCAACCCCTAATTTCTGCTATCCTTGTGATTTCTCCTCCTCTCCTTTTTCTGCCTCTCATTCCCCCCTTCATTTTCCACTTTTGAACATCTCTTGCTTAGTTATCCGATTTTCACAGTAGTGATTGTATGCAGTGTTTGTCCTTATAAAGCTGAGTTAGTCCACTCAACATAATGCTCTCTCGACTCTCCTATGTTATATGATATTTTACAAACTTGTTATTCATTGTTGTTGTTGTGCACCAATGAGTTGGAACCAACCCACAGCTGACCCTCTAGCAGGTATTCAGAGGCATTTAGTCACATGAGAGGAGATTGCCCATCCTTTTCCTGTGCAGCAGCTGGTGGCCTCTTACTGCATGCCTTTGGGATTGCAGCACAGCTTCTCATTAGTGCTGCATAATACTCAATTGTGTGAATGTACTGCCATTTCTCAGAAGTGTACAGAATCCTACAGGGCCTCCACAAGAAAAAGACTGATAATCACAATATGGGCAAAAGTCATGAAAAGACTCTTCACAAAAGAGGTCATTCAGGTGGCCAAGAAACACATGAGGAAATGTTCAAAATTAGTAGCAGAGAGATGCAAATCAAAACCACAATGAGATAACATCTGACCCCAACAGCAGTAGCAAAGTTTAATAGGACAGCAAACAAATCGTGGAGAGGAGATAGAGAGATTCTTATGCATTGCTGATGGGATTGCAAAATGATAAAACCGTTATGAAGGGTAGTTTGGCAATTTCCTCAAACCACTGAATATAGAAACTCCATATGACCCAGCTATTCCACTGCTAGGAATATATCCAAAGGAAATCAGAGCTGAGACACAAATGAAGATTGTACACCTATGTTCATAGAAGTGTTATTCACAATAGCAAGAAAATGCAAACAGTCCAAATGCCCATGGGGAGCTTTTGTCAACTTGAATCTCAAAAAATTCAAGTTGCCCTTCTTCTTTATCCTCAAGGAGGATATAGGAGGTTTTACTCCGAAGGTTTTCTTTGGCTTAAGATGAGCTACAACTTCTTCAATTTTAACACCACCTCAATTTCCCTAGGAGACCTAGGCCAAACACTTGAAATTCGTGGTAGCCCTGGACTGAAGGGACAACCTGGGGATTCTGGACTTGAAGGTAAGGCTGCTGTGCTTTTTGGATCGTATGTTTCATAGCTTCCTCCAAGCTAAGGTATGGAAGGAATTTGGGCATCCAAGTTCTGCAACATCTATCCAGTGCAGGAAGAGTGCTCCCTGATCTGTGTCTGCTCACAGCAGCCCAGAGTTTTCCCAGGCAAGGCAGCCTGCTGTCCCTTTACAAAAAAGACAGCTTTGGGCTAATGGCATACACCCACTTAGTGTGCTAGATAGTTACCTAACCTGAGCTTCTTAAACATTGCCACCCACAGCTTCTGATTCTAGGGGCACACAAGCCAGTTTCACTTACTTTTAATTGGGGTCACACCTTGGGCAAATGTGTCACAATCCTTTTCAGACTTTCTTCATTCGGCTGAATAACCCCAGCTATCCAGCACCCTCAGTTCAAGATGATTTCACCTTCCTGCTAATTCTCTCCCATTTCCTGAAACATAACCTGATCATTAGTCAGCACTTTCCTTGGTGTGTAGGTGTCAAAGGACACGATGGTCCCGTTGGTGATGTGGGTTTACCAGGAAGCAAAGGTGAAAATGGAAAAGATGGAATCTCTGGAAACACTGGCCTGCCTGGCTCTCCAGGTACCATTCCACAGGATAATTTTATTTCTTTTTTTTATCAGAACAAGTTAGGATTCATTCCAAGCTATGCCTCATGCCTTGGCTTCACTTTCAGGACTTCCTGGGATTGCAGGACCAAGAGGACATCAGGGATTTCCAGGTTCTCCTGGTCGTCAAGGTGCAATTGGACCCCTCGGACACCCTGGCCTAGTAGGACCTAAAGGTTTGTATATTTGGAAGTGGGCAGTGGAGGAAAATATCCTTCCTTCCAAAAGGACCTCAACTACTTTGCTTTTGGAGATGCTAGATGATGATATAGGAGCTCTGGTAGTGTGTTACGTGTTTAGCTGCTAACCATAAAGTCAGTGGTTCAAATCCACAAGCTACTCCACAGGAGAAAGGTGGTCAGTCTCCTCCTATAAAGAGTTACAGCTATGGAAACTGATGGAGGGTCACCATGTGTTAGAAGCAACTCGATGGCAGTGGGGAGATGAGGAAAAGCCACACCCAGAGGAGTTATTGATGGGATGGAGGGATAGTGGGAAAGAAGGAGATAGGAAGAAAAAGGGCAGGCCTAAATAGGAATAGAAGAACATGGAATCCATGAAGAGAAGAGAAAATCCATGCAGAAAAGTCATTGCTCCACCGTATGAAGCCTTTTCCTGACTTGGACATCAGGGAGTGAGTATCTGGAACCAGTCTGGCAAGTCAAGTCCTTGGCATTCTGAATTCTTCTTGAAGACATCTCTCCAGTTAGTTATTGGTGAGGCCATTCAAAGCCCTGTTGATCTCTGATAAGTGTCACGAGAAATCTAGGGTTGGGTGGCCAGGTAATGCCTCAGAAAAGACTACAACCTTTAAAAAGAAGATGTTGAAGTGTCCTTGGGGACAGGTTGTGACCCCTTGCTGCGCCCTTTTGACTCCTTATGACACAGAGTTGCTGAAGCCATTTCTGCCCTTCTGTCTTCATAGGCCTCCCTGGATACCCCGGCTTAAATGGCTTAAATGGACTTCCAGGGACCAAAGGTGCCCGTGGTACTACAGGTAAGAATGTCTACCTCCCTCCCAAGACTGAAGAGGAATGAGCTAGGCTTCCAGAACCCTGGCCAGCCATGAGTTCTCCACTGAAGTCTATTACATGTGCTTGAACTCCTAAATCTCCAACTGAAGGTCCCTTGACGTGGCCAGGAAAGAAGATGGAGCTTGGCTTAGCCAAATGAGCTGTTACTTCAGCAGTCCATCTCTGGTGTCAGTGGGGCAGGCTTCCAATAATGTGAGGTAAACATGAGACACTCACCCCCACTGAATTCTGTCCCCCTTTCTCTGCATCTCGTCCTAGGATCAAGTATAACTGGTGTGCCTGGACCTGCCGGACTGCCTGGACCCAAAGGAGAGCAAGGTCCTCCAGGCACTGGTATTGGAGAACCAGGAAAATCAGGAGTGAGGGGACCAAAAGGTGGCCGAGGTAAGGGAGTGCAGGTCAGGTCTGCAGAAGCTGAGGGAGCCAAGAGTCGATCCTGGGGGTCATGTAGCTCACAAGCTTGAGTTATGTAGGTCCTTATATCTCTGAGAGCTTGAAACCTAGAGAGGCTGACCCAGAGAGGCTGTTGTGAAAGAGAGAATAGACTATGAGGGGTGTCAGGAAACAGTTCAATAGGTTCCCTCTAGCCTCCACAATCACTTATTGACTTAAGGCCTGTCTTATATTCAAGGCCAGTGTTTCATTGTCTTAAGAAATAAGGTGTTTCCATTTAGTGAAAAGTCTTCTAGAATGTTCTTTGTCTCTCATGCCTGGCCATGGAAAGACAAAGTGACTATGGGGGTGGGGGGAACCCCATGGCTATGAAGTTAAATGTCTCCTCAGGACAGTACTTGTTACATTTTTTTATTGGCCTCAGTCTCTGCTCCTGACTCACCAAAATGCCCGAGATCCTTTTTCTGAGCCTCTATTTCCTAGTAATTCCTCTCAAACAACAGGAATGAATCCTGATTCTTTTTCTTTCCCTAGGATGTCCTGAAGACCCAGGTAGCTTCCACTCAATGTAATGTAGAAAGAGAATTCCATGTAGCATCAGGGTTAAGTTCAGGCTTTGAAATCAGACCAGCTGGGCTCCAATTCCAGTTTTGCCTCTGTATGATCTGGAACAAAGAAGTTACTTAACCCTCAACTCCAAATAAACTGTTAGTTGCCTTGTTCTGTAAAATGGTCATAATACGAGAACTTACCTCATAGGATTGATGAGAAATCCGTGAGAAGTAAGATGATTTGCCTAAAAGAACTTAGCCTACAAGCTGACAAATAATAGATTCTCAAGAGGTACCAGTTGTTGTATCATTACATGTTACCTGGGGAAAACATACTTGCAAAATGTCCCATGCCTAATAGACTTTGTTATATGCATGTTTGCAGTGTGTGTGTGTGTGTGTGTGTGTGTGTGTGCACGCACACACACTTTTCAGGAACTGTATCCAAACACTAATTCATTTACTGCTGCATTTTGCCTGCGTGCATCTGTTGTTTCTGTGTTTATGCTTTCCTTTGGTCTGGACCAAGCTTTTATTTTCTAAAAGCTGGCAGATTCTCCAGAGGAAGGACCAGAAGTGGAATCCAAGCCTCTTTGGGGCAGGGGAAGAGGGGAGGTGGCAAAAAAGGGGCAGAGGGCAAATTGTGTGGTTTCTTTCAAATGTGAGAGAGAAAAGAACAAGAAGTAGAGATGTGAGGACTTTTCCCTTCCGATTTTCAAACCCTGACAATGAACAATTCGTTTACTTTAACTATCTGAGGTAATAAAATTGGAATTATTAGGGCTGTCACCACTATATGTCAAGATGGATAAATCTCAGGGACATAGTGTTTTGTTGCACAACAGAAAAAAGCAATTGAAGAGGAAGACACTTGGTTTAATTGTAGCCCTAACTGTTCAAACATCAGCCAAACCAAGTGATGTATCATTTGTCATTCTTGTTAGGTGCTATCGAGTTGAGCACAACTCACAGAAACCCTATGAAGAACAGAAATGAACCCTGTCCTATTCTGTGTCATCCTCACAATCTCTCACACATTTGAACCCATTGCCACAGCCGCTGTGTCAATGTGATGGTGTTAGGTGCCATCGAGTCAGAACTTATAGCATCCCTAGGAACAACAGACCTGAATCCTGTCCTATCCTGTGCCATCCTCACTATCTCTGACACACTTGACCCCATTGCTGCAGTCAAGGGAATGGTGAACACAATAAATGCAAGTGTGTTGGCCTCTGAGTAGATTCCAAGGTGAGGCAAATATCTTGCACTGTACAGTTTTGAACCAAAAGGTCGCCAGTTCAAATCCACCCAGAAGTGCCATGGAAGAAAGGCCTGGCAACCTACTTCTGTAAGATTATAACCATTGAAAATCCTATTATGGAGCTCAATTTTACTCTGACATACATAAAGCCACCATGAGTTGGAGTCAACTCAACAGCAGTGATTTGATTTTGTTCTATCATCTATCTGTCTGTCTATCTATCTATCTATCTATCTATCTATCTATCATCTATCTGCCTTTGAGAGGGAAAGATTGGGTTGGGATCCCTAGTGAGCATGAAGGGAACAAATCAAAGGCGATGCTGTCTATTTTTTCTTCAATCTGTGTTTGGAACATAGGTGTTTAATTTTTTCCTAGCTTATTCTTTACCTATGATTTATAAATGTCCTGTTGCTTCCTCTCAGTAGCTAATCAAAACAATCTATTTACAAAGAGAGTGAATATCACCTTCCCCACAGGAACCTACCTTTGACTTGTTAATATGAAGGTAATAAGTAGATTTAACCCTAAAGAAATGCCACGGAGCAATACCTATCCTTGCCACACCTTTATAGAAATCACTTTCAATTACACTGTTTATCATATTCTGCTGAAAGAATATGGAAGGGTAAATTTGGGAATTTGTTCCTCAAACTCACTGATGTATGGAAAATGCACTTTGCATTTGCATCTGCTCATTCAAAGTGGTGTGTGTGTGTGTGTGTGTGTGTGTGTGTGTGTGTGAAATATGTATATAACAAAATATTTATCACTTCAGCATTCTTTACAAAGTGACTTAACTTGTGTTCATCAGCATCAGCCTAACAGAAGCTCGGTGTAAGCCCTTTTATTCTTAATTAAGGAAAACCATGAGCAAGCCTTTATTTCTGATTTGATAATGTATTGGTACAATTTTAAAATAAAATAAAAATTTAAAAAAAAACTGGTAAGGAGAGGAGGAGGAGGTGGCTCCAAAAATATTCCTGGGAAATTCTTACACCCTCTGTGCTGCTTATATATGCTCTATATGCTAAGTGGTGTCTTATTTATTGACTTGACATAATTTTAGCTTCTCTCTATACTATATAAACAGCCCTGCTGGCATAATTGGTAGCATGCCGGGCTGCGAACCAAAAGGTTGACAGTTCAAGTCCACTGACAACTACATGAGAGAAAGATGGGCTGTTTCCTCTCATAAAGATTCACAACCATGGAAACCCGTTGGAGGGAGTCAAAACCAGCTCTGCAGCAGTGGGTTTGGTTTATATATTCTATAAAAGGATCCCTGGTGATGCAGTGATTTGGCACTGGGCTGTTTACTTTTATGTCAGTAGTTTGAACACACCAAGCACTCAATGGGAGAAATTTGATGCAGCGATCTGTTCCCAGAAGGATTTAGAGCCTCAGACACCCTATAGGGCAGTTCTCCTGTGTTCTGTAGAGGCCCTATGAGCTGGAATGGACTAAATCACAATGTTCTTGTTTTTATATAGCTATGGTGGCCTAGTGCTCAGGCTATTCGTTCATAGGGTCGCTATGAGTCGTCTACGACTCGACCACATTAAACAACAACAACAACATGGTGACCTAGTCTCTGTAGATGTTCATTGAAATGAAAAATAAACAACCTAAATTAAAAAGAAAAAAAAAAGTTGCCCTGCTCTCCCAAAAGCAAGCTGTTCAAGGCCACCAGCTGTTTCATGGGAGAAGGATGAGCCATCTCCTCCTGTGCGATTAACTGCCCAGGATGGTACTACACACACACACACACACACACACACACACACACACACACACATATGTATAAATATACATAAAGCTATAGTCTCAGAAAAGAAAGCATATATTGTGTCTTTCTTTTCAAATATTAATCCTTGTGAAAAAGAAAATAGCTGAACGGCTCCCCAAGATATAGCTGATGATACTATCTAGTGTCATGTGGCTGTACACCTAAGTTTTCCGTGCTTGCTTCTTCCCCTCCCCCCCCCGTTTTAAATATCAGCTGGATAATTGAGGGGTCTGTTTTCTCCAAAAATACTTCTTCAGCAGTTTATTAGCTAGATAATGAGCTGTTAATAAAGCACCTGAATGCACCATTCTGCTATCTTCCTTTACAAGTTTTCATGGATTTATGTCTTGTGTGAATGTAAGATGAGAAGTTTGACCCCCTTTTTTAATTTTTCTGGTCACAGATAAGGATAAAATTCAACAGTAGTATCTTTGAACTGTGTCACAAACAGAAAAGCTCAACAATCTCAACCATTAGTTTACCAATCAGTTTGAATCTATTTCACTTCATTTGAATATCTGCTAGAATGCATAAAATAATAGCTATATTTGTTCCACACTACACACTAATATGAACTTCCACCTTTGTATAGATTGCTTTGATGTATTCTGCCATTAAGATTACATGTGCTTGACATGTGAATAGGAAATAAATTTCCTATAATCTGAAATTTGGGGTCTGAACATATTACAATAGAAATCACTCCACAAACAAGAAAACATGTGAAGTGGCTTTAAAAGTTAAGCAAACAATTATTGTTGTTGTTCTTAGTGGAGTCGAGTGTGACTCTTAGTAACCCTTCAAACAAAAGATCTGAACCCTGTGCTACCCTGCACCGTCCTTACATTTTCTGACACACAAGAGCCCCTTGTAGCAGTCATCTCACTGTGTCAGTCCACTGAACTAAGGGTCTTCCTTTCCTTCGCCGACCCTACACACTTCCCAACATCATGTCCCTCTCCAAGGAATAGCCCCTCCTAGCAACATGGCCAAAGTATGTGAGGCAAAAGCCTCATCATTCTTGCCTTCAAAGAGCACTCCCGTCTGCACCCTCTCCAAGACAGACCTGTTTGTTCTCCTGGCCGTCCATGGAATGTCCAGTGCTACTTCAATAAATGATTATTGTCTTTTGCCAGAAAGGTGGGGAAGGGACTTAATACAGACATGTTTGTTTTACACAAATAAAACAAAATCTGAAAAGCACTTAAATGATCAACAGAAGAAGATTGATCTGGAAAAGCATTTAAATGATCAATAAAACATTGATTCCCAGTTTTCCAGTAGCCCGAGAAGGTAGAGGAGGCAAAAAGACCCTTGCTGGCCTCCATTTTGATAGGCTTGATGTCTGTTCTGTCCTATCGGATCCTGCGTCCCTCCGCTGTCTGTCACCTTCTTTGTGCAGCATCAGATATAACTGGCTATCTTACAAAATGTGTTCTGATGATGGCAGTGGGTTTGGAAACACTTTGGGAGACTTGAATTCCTCGTGTTGCTGCCATGTCTTCTTTCCTTTCGAATTCAGGGCAAATTTGCAACAGCCTCAAATATTGCCACCATCAGTAACTTTGGGAAGCCTATCAAAATTCAGCTCTGGGCCGGGTGGGGTGGGGTGTGTTGGAGGGAGAGCTTCAGTCAACCTTTGTCACCTGTGCGTCTGTGCGTTTGATCAGAAGGGAGGTGGGATGATGGGTAGAAGAGCCCTCTCCTGGTGGTGTCAGGTATGACTCCTGCTTAATGGCTTCTGATTTCTAAATGTGAACCATTTTCTCTCAGAGCGCCTGGTCTTTTCCTGGACCCATGAAGCCCATTTAGCCCCCTCTTTTAAAATTTATTTGCAGGTTTCCCTGGTCTCCAAGGCCCTGCTGGCCTCCCCGGTGCCCCAGGCATCTCCTTGCCCTCAGCCATAGCAGGACAGCCTGGTGACCCCGGGCGACCAGGCCTAGATGGAGAACGAGGTAAAGACAGGAAGCCCAAAAGAGGGATGATGGGGCAGCCCTGTACATACTCCATCCTTACTTCTGTGGACCTGCTTAGCTCCATATTGCTCCCTTCAGCAGGCATTCAGGGGACTAGAATGAATAGCAATGAAAGGGTTTGGGAAGCTTGGACACTGAAACCCCACTGCTTTGGCTTCCTGTCAGTCCTGAGTCTTTCAGTAGCGACCACTTCTTGCTTTATCTACCCTCTCATCCCTCCCTGGAGCTCTGGTAAGGAGCTGCATTGCCAGCCCAAAAAGGCATGTGGTTCAAATCTACCAGCTGGTCCACAAAAGAAAGATGGGGATTCTCCCTTCATACTGCCTCAGAAAACCCGCTGGAGGGGTCAGCTTTGGGTTGGTTTCAACTTGAGAGTACATAACAACAACATCCCTCCCTGATCTTATCCCTAGGCCGCCCAGGGCCTCCTGGACCCCCAGGTCCCACTGGGCCATCCTCAGATCAAGGTGACTCTGGAGCCCCTGGCTTCCCTGGAATTCCTGGTCCTCAAGGGCTTAAGGGAGATCAAGGAATCCCAGGCTTCTCTGGCCTGCCTGGAGAGCTAGGAATGAAAGGTATGACTGTTTGGCTGTCTGTCTCCCCTAGTCTACAGTTAGAGCTAGTCCCTTCCTGCAGCCACCTGAAGAAAGACCAACTCAAAATGCTACCCTCAGCCATTCACACTCCCCCTCCCCTGCTCCCATTGCCAGACCCTGACTTGCTTCCCTTTGGACTTTGCCAGGCATGAGAGGTGAGCCTGGCTTCATGGGGACTCCAGGCAAGGTTGGGCCACATGGAGACCCAGGACTTCCCGGGATGAAAGGAAAGGCAGGGCCAAGAGGTGAGTTGAGAGCATGTACTGGGCTGATACTGAGCTCCAGGGAAGGGCGCTGCATAAGATTCTTTCATGAGCCACTGTCCACCTTGCCAAGATAGCCTGGATGCCTGAAACAGCTGGATCCAGCTATTGTGGAGATGTGGTTTCTCTACTTTGGGGAGACAGGATAAGAAGTTTGAAGGCCACTGCTGCTTTGATGCCCTGCATCCTGTCCCTTGACCTCGTCTCTCTGCATTAGTTCTATGCCTGTGGCAGTTGAGATACATTTTGATCACCAGCCACCCATTTGCTCAATCCAGAGCTGAAAGCTGCTTGCTATCAACACCACCCATACGCTCACACACACCCAATCCATCAGCAAGCCCTGAGGGTCCTATCTCCTAAATGTGCCTTCCATTCCTTCACCTCTCATCACCTCTACCACTACCACCTAGAGCCAAACCTCCACCATGCCTCACATGAACCACTGCGATGGCCTGCTAATGGTCTCTCTGCTTCCTACCTCCCTAGCAATCATTTCTCCACACAACAGCCTGGGAATTCTTGTAAGACAGAAATCACCCAATGCCAAACTCAGATGCCTTCCTCTTAATCTTCATTGCCAGCTCCCCTCCCTCTGGTGCTCACTGTGCTCCTGCCACACTGGCTCCTTTAAGTGATCAAAAACTGCCACGGGACCTTTGCACATGCCAGAAGTGCTTCCTAAAATGCTCTTGCACACTGCTTTTCAAATGACTAGTTCCTTCTAATGTTTTAAAGATCTCAACCCAGCTGACACCACTTGTGATCACCCTCTCTAAAGCACACCTACCCTGGCTTCTTCCTCCCCTGCTGTCTGTTTCCTTCAGAACACTTCTCAAAACTTGCAGTAAGAGTATGGTGTCTGTACGGTTATACCTTTTCCAGCTTTATCACTAGATCATAGTCTCTGCAAGGGTTGGTCTTAGTCACTCCTCTGTCCCCATATCTACCAGGCACCTGGTACATAGCAGTCATTCCAATATTCAATGAACAAGAAAGCAAAATTACATGTTTGACTCCCATTATTAAGTCAGATGGCAGAGTTTGGGATCCCAGGGGTTGCCAGCTAAGCCTCTGAGGTCGACCACATCCCCAGTCTCCTTGCCAAAGCATCTTGACCAGTAATTGAGCAAACCAACAGCTCAGGTCAGGAGTAAAGGCTCAGCCCTCTCTTTCTAAAACACACTTATTCATTTCCTGGGCTAGACCCTGGAGGAGGTAGCATGAATATGTCCCAGACCTTGCCCTCAAGCAGCTACAACAGCAACCGAAAGGCTGATGAGGTGTTCTGTAAAGGGTGGCCAAGAGCTATCCTGAGCTAGAAATGCCTGGGGCCGGCTCCCAATGAGAGTTGTTGTTGATTGCCTTAGAGTCGAGCATGACTCATAGCAACTCTGTGAACAAAATGCCTGAAACCTTTCTACAACAATCGACATCTATCAAAGTTCATAGAGTTTCCGGAGACATGTTGTTTAGGAAGTGGATGCCATTCCTGCTTCCAACCAATAAAGAATAATGGTTAGAAAACCCTATGGAGAAGTCCAACTCTGTCATGTAGAGTTGCTATGAGGACTGGCGTGCAGAGCCCAGAGCTTCCGGTTGAAGGCAGCTAGGAAGGCTCTGGGACGCCCCCTGGTGGATTTCTCCTCTTTCCTCAGTCCGACACTTTCTTTTTCCCTATCTCCCCACAGGGTTTTCTGGCCCCCGAGGTGTTCCTGGACAAACACCAGTCACAGAAGCCATCCAGGCTCCTTCGGGACCTCTGGGTCTCCCAGGCATTGATGGCATCCCTGGCCTTGTGGGGGACCCTGGGGTTCAAGGCCCTGTAGGACAACAAGGTGAGAAAGCGGCCAGCGGAAGAGGGGCACTTCTCAGGAAGCTGGCACTTGAAACAGGCATTTTAGAACCCCAAGAGTGCGTTAGTTGTCTCTTTTGGCCCTGGTTACTGTATTTCTGACACAAGGAGATAGCAATTGTCCTGCATACTTCCTAGGATTGTTTGGAGGATGAGAGGAGAAAATGGCGTGGAAGGGCTGAGAGTACTATCCCATCGTAGAGATGCTTGGGTCTTGAATTTAGGCCTAGGCCAGGGTGGTTCACTTGGCCTGCAGCTCCGTTTGCACATAACATTGACAGCTAGTTCGCCCTCTCCTGGTGAGTCATGGATACGGCACATGGCCCCTCTGGTGTGGGCTCCTGGGGACTCCCCATCATGATTATCTTCTGTGTGCCATTTCTCTTTGTAGGTTCAAAAGGTTTACCTGGCATCTCTGGCAAAGACGGTCCCAGCGGGCTCCCAGGCCCACCTGGAATTCCTGGCGATCCTGGTGTCCCTGGACTGCAAGGTCCTCCCGGATTTGAAGGTCTGGTGACTGATGTCAGTACTAGGGGGCAGAGGGCATCTGTGCGGATTTGTGGTTGGAGGAGTCTAGGACTCAAGTCTGAGATTCAGTAAACCTGGTGGTCACGCCGGACATTTGTTAGGCACTGTTGAGTCGACCACGACTCATAGCAACCCTATGAGAGAGCAACAGACCCGAATCTTGGCTCGTTCCTGTGCCATCCTCACATTCTCAAACCTATTGCTGAAGTCATGATGTCAAGACATCTCCTTGAGGGTCTTTCTTTCTCTGACCCTATTGCTAGACATGGAAAAGGCTACAAAACTGTGCTCCAACCCACTTAAGCCTCACTACTCTCTGAGCTTGTGAAAAGGATGCCCTACATTATAGAAGGCAAGACTCTTTGAAAGCCACTTCTGAATTCTCTTCTAGTTCTTAAGACCTATGATTCCATGGCCCCTTGCCTTGCCCTCCCCTTTTTTCCATTCTAGGATGGGAAGAGGGTGGTTCAAGGGATAAGAAAATTTAAGATACCTCTGCCACGTAATTCTCATTTTACATACTGGATGGCAAATCAGTTATACTGAGCATGGTGGGGAAAGTACTCTTAACTATAAGTTGCTTAACTATATGCAGGAGAAGACAGCATGATTTTGTCATTACTAATCTTAAAGACCTTGGATCAGATGGACAGACACAGTGACTGTGGCACTAGGGTCAGGTGTGTCAGACATGGTGAACTTAGCTCAGGTTAGGGCAAGGTTCAGGACCTTTGTTGATAGGATCGCCATTGCTCAAAGTTGGCTCGATGGCATGTAACAACCACAACAGTCTTTTTTTTAAAAAATATTTTAAAATTTTATTATTTTGTGTGTGTGTACCGTCAAATCAGATCTGACTGGTACAGGAGGAGATTGTCCCTCCTTCTCCAGCAGAGCATCTGGCGGATTTAAACCGAGTACCTCTGGAATTGCAGTGCAGCTTCTTGCCACTAGGCCACTAGAGCTCCCTAACAACAGTCTTAATGCATAGTGAGCTCTGGTGGCCTAGTGCTAAGGAGTGGCGTTGGCAAGGTTGACAAGACAGGCAGTTTGAATCCACCAGCTGCTCTGAGGAAGAATGATGGGCAATCTCCTCCTGTGTGATTTATAGCCTCTGAAAACCACTGGAGGGTTGGCTATGGGTTAGTTCCAACTCAACAGCACATAACAAAAACAATCTTAATTTAAGGAACACTGATGGCATAGTCCATAGTGAGTTGGGCTGCTAAGCCTAAAGCGGTACCTCTCTGCCAGTTCAAATCCACCAGTTGCTCTGTGAGAGAAAGATGGTCAATCCCCTCCTGTGCGATTTACAACCTCTTGAAAACCTGCTGAAGAGTCAGTTATGAATTGTTTTCTACTTGACAGCAATGAGTCATGTTGTGAATCTTCCCACCCCCAAAAAGAATGTCTTTTATTAAAAAATTCTTTTTCCTCATGATTTAATGAAACTAACCATTGTTCTATATTAAAAAAAAATATACTGGTTTACTTACAAAGTTCATATACATTGTTTTTCACACTGGATCTTTCCCCATTCCTTTCCCCACCTTTCCCTCCACCCATCAAATTGTGCAACCCTGTTACGAAGTCCTCCTGCCCATCCTCACCCTTCTGCTCCCTCCACTCTCGTCCCCGTTTCGATCCGCATACACATTCTATAATAATGGTCTTATACAGTATATTGTGAATCTTAACGCACCTGACAGTTAACCAAAAGATTGAAAATGCAAGTCTGCCCAGAGGTGCCTTGGAAGAAAGTCTAGGCGATTTACTCCTTAAAAAAAACCCCACCCATTAAAAAAAAATAAATAAAACCAAACAAACAAAACCCAAAAACAAACAAAAAAAAACAAGCCCAAAGCAATAAACCACCCATTGCAAACCCCATGGAGTCAAGTTCTCTTCTGGCACACATCCCAATGTCAAGGACATGATAACAACTGGCTTTAGGTTCCCCCCCTAGTTTAATTCCCAGGCAATTCCTTTTCCCTTAGGAGCCCTGCAAAGGGTTGATGGTTCAAACCCACTCAGCAAATCTGAGAAAGACTTGACAGTAGGCTCCTATAAAAATAACTGGCTAGAAAAATCCTATGGGGAAACCTTACCCCATCATGTGGTTTGCTATTAGTAGAAAATAGACTCAAAAGCAATCACTAACCAGTTTTCCCCATAAAGGCCTGTAACATTGAGCCTGAGAACCATATTACCCTGCCCCTCAGAGTCTCTAAGGCACAGTGGCGGTGGGAGGAATGCAGGATAACACACTTGCTAAAAGGGGCTTTGAAGCTGGGGACCTCTGAGCTGGAGTCCCAGCTCCTGTACTTACTCCTAGTAATGTGACTTCTGAGCCTCGATTTTCTTATCTGCATATTGGGAGTGGTAGTAGTAGAATCATCTCTGATTTGTCACGGGGACTGGGTGAGATAATGTGTGTAGATCGCGTGTCTTGCACAATAGCTCACCCACCCCTTGTCATGCTCTGTCCCTCTCAGGAGCTCCAGGGAAGCAGGGCCCCTTTGGGAGGCCTGGGATGCCTGGCCAGAGCGTGAATGTGGGCTACACCTTGGTGAAGCACAGCCAATCAGAGCAAGTGCCCCTGTGCCCCATCGGGATGAAACAGCTATGGGTGGGTTACAGCTTGCTGTTTGTGGAGGGGCAGGAGAAAGCCCACAACCAGGACCTGGGTAAGTATCATCTGTTGCCATGGGGACCAAGAGCCAACACCCTCTCCCCTCTCACGCCTGGGTAGGGTGTGACTTGCTAGCTCTGGAGCCAGGAATATCTGCATTCAAATATTAGCTGGGCCACTTACAAGCTATGTATGTCCCCTCGTAAGTTATTCACCCTCTTAAGCTTCAGCATCCTCGTTAACAGAATAAGACTAATTCTAGCACCTACCCTGAGATAATGTGAATCCCCAAACATAAAATGCTGAGCATAATGTTTGGCATCTACTATGCATTTATTAAGTATTATTAGTATGTATGTGTTATTAGTGCTATGCATTTGTTACGTGAACCTGCAGGCCATAAGGGTTGCCAAAAAATGCATTGTATTAACCACATGGATACTGACTCGATGATGCAGTCCATCCAATGCAGGTTTTCCAAAGCAGACTAATTTGGGAAGCATTATTGGCCCTTTTCAGTATCAGACTTAGGTCAGCGTAGTAAGCAATCTGATGGCCTCTCAGATGACCCTGACAATTTAAAGGGAGAGAGATGGGCACTTGCCTACTGCAACAATTTACAGCCCCTAAAAACCCACTGGAGAGTCTGTTATGAGTCTGTTCCAAGTCAACAGCAATAAGAGAGAGACAAACAGATGGATAGCCAAGTGTGCTGACACTTAGAGGCAGAATACCAAATGCAGGTTTTACAGAATCGATTAATTACAGAAACATTATTCTAGTTTAAAAGTCTTCTATTCATTATTCTATAGGGAGCTCCGGTAGTCAGTGCGTAAGGTGTTGTGCTGCTAATCCAAAGGCAAGTGGTTTAAATCCACCAGCTGCTTCATGGGAGAAAAGATGGGCATTCTCCTCCTGTGTGATTGCCTGCCTCTGAACGCCCACTGGAGGGTCAGCTATGAGCCAGTTCAGATTTGATGGCAATGAACAACAATAATAGCATTGATTATTACACTTCATGGGACATTTAAAATAAGTTTGATCAGCAGACGCCAGCATGTTACAAGACTGTAAAGAGAACAGTACCCTGGTCGGGAAATGCAGATCTAAACTCAAACCACCCTATAGTCCAGTCTTGTTGTTTTGTGCCCTTGAGTCACTTGTTACTCTTAGCGACCCTACGTACAACAGCCTAAACTCTGCTTTATCCTGTGCCAATCGCACTGCCTCTGACACACCCATCCCAATTACCCCAGTCACTGAATCAATCCACGTCATAGAGGGCCTTCCCCTCCTGCGCCGTCCCTCCATCCTACTAAGCATGATGCCCCTCTCCAAAGACCTGTCTCTCCTTGCAACATGCCCAAAGTATGTCAGATGAAGCCCCAGGATCCTTGCCTCCAAGGAGCAGCCTGGTTTAACCCTTTCCAGGATGAATATGTTTATTTTCTTGGCAGTCCATGGTACATTCAATACTCTTCTCCAGCACCACAGGTCAAAGGCATCAATTCTCCTTCTCTCCTCCCTAGACATTGTCCAACTCTCTGATGCATAACAAGTGATTGAAAAGACCATAGCCTGTATCAGATGCACCTTAGTCTCCAGAGTGACACCATTGCTCTTCAGTACCCTGGAGACGTCCCTGACCTCTGACTTTCCCATCGCAATACGTTTTTTTAATTTCCTGGCTACTAGTGCCAAGAGTGTTGACCATCGAGCCAAGCAGACTAAAGTTGTTAACAGTCTCAATCTCTTCACCATCCACCCTGATGCTGCCAATTGGTCCAGTGGTGAGAAGCTTTGTCTTCTTGACACTGAACCTCAATCCATATTGAAGGCCGCAGTCCCAGACCCTCAGCAGCAAGCGCCGCAGGTCCTCCTCAGTTTCAGCAAGTAGGGTGTGTCATCTGCATAATGCAGATTATTAATAGATCTTCCACCAATCCTGATACGACACTTCTCTTCATAGAGCCCAGCCTCTTGGATAATCTGTTCTGCATACAGGTTGAAAAGGTGTGGAGACAGGACACATCCCTGTCATACGCCTTTCCCAGTTTTGAACCAGGCTGTGTTTCCTTGCTCTGTTCTGATGACTGCCTCTTGGTCCAAGTATAGGTTTCGCATTAGCACGATTAAGTGTTCTGGGATTCCCATTCTTCTCAGAGTCAGCCACAGTTTGTTGTGATCCACACAGTCAAACACCTTTGCATAATCAATGAAACACAGATAGACATTCTTCTGGTATTAGAAGCCTTAAAGATAACGTGACCCCTCGGTCAAGCCTTAACTGCCTCTCTCACCTTCTCTCCTTGTCAGGGTTTGCTGGCTCCTGCCTGCCCCGTTTCAGCACCATGCCCTTCATCTACTGCAATATCAATGAGGTGTGCCATTATGCCAGACGCAATGACAAGTCCTACTGGCTCTCTACTACCGCTCCTATTCCCATGATGCCTGTTGCCCAGGGCCAGATTCCCCAGTACATCAGCCGCTGCTCAGTGTGTGAGGCGCCTTCACAAGCCATTGCCGTGCATAGCCAGGACATCACCATTCCGCAGTGTCCACTGGGCTGGCGGAGCCTCTGGATCGGATATTCTTTCCTCATGGTAAGTAAGGCCTGGCACCGCCCCACCCCACCCCAGTAGAGAGGCTGAAGGCAGGGAATGCTGGGATATCCCACTGGATTGGTTCCCAGGCTCAGGAGATGCAGTGGTCCTCATATGACCAACCGGAATTTTGAAAGGAAACGCAATGTGCTTGGCCTGGGCTTGGCTAAGGACTGGAAGGCCCAGTTCTGTAGGAAGGGGAGGCAGTGTTGGGTGTGTGTGGAAGGAAGGATTTTCCACCCAATCGTTCAGAGAAAGATTAACTGTGAATCACAGCCCAACACCTAACAGCTTCTCCATGCTTGCTTCCACCAAGGGAAGGTAGAAACATAAACAATGTAGGTGAGTTGGGGAGAGGTCATCCCCCCTTAAGGCCCAATTCTCTGCTCAGACTGGGCATTCTACCCACTCCACACACACCCCTCCCCAGGTCCCTCTGACTATATTGCCATCTCCACTCAAGAAGCTTAATGCTTCCATGTCCTTGCTGTAATTTTGGCAACCTTTCCATTTTAGTGACCAGGAATATGGCTTAGAATAACATCTGTAAGCACAAGTTGGCATCACGTGGGCCCTGGAGTGAGTTTGTGGCAATTTGGGACTGATCAAAGGTCAAGCTAGGGCCATGCTGGTGGGGCAAAGATGTTGTCAGCCACATACAGGAGGCGGTAGTCCCCCATAGCAGGAAGTCTTCTAAAGGCAAGGGATCAAGAAGGGGAAGAGAACATGGAAACTCCTATGAAAGAGTAGAAGAGGGGAAGCTTAGGCATCTTTGGGTGAGGGCCCTCTCAAAAGGTGAGGGGAGTGGAGTCTCTAGTGAGAGAACTCTGAAGGCAGCAGCACCTTAGGGCTTTATGACTAGAGGGCTTATCATAGCTTGGGCTGACAGAAAAAACTCTGCTCTGGTGGCCTAGTGGGTAAGGAGTTGCACTGGCAACCCCAAGGCAGGCAGTTTGAAGCTGCAAGTTGCTTCTCGGGAGAAAAGTGGACATTTCTTCCTATGCAATTTACAACCTGTGAAAAGCTGCTGGAGGGTCAGCTATGAGTCTCTTATGACTCGGCGACAGTGAATCGAGCTGAGTTTGAGGGCCAGCAGATGTTGGGTGCAATTCATGGAGTACGTTAAACAGATGGGCTGAAGCAGTGGTGGCTAAAAATCTACTCATTTAGGCGATTTTTTAAACAACTGAAGATATGCACTCTTGTGTACATTGGAGGGCAGCTTGCAGCTAACAAGCCTCAGCTTGCTATGAGCTAAACACCCGGGAGGACATTTTTTACTTGTTTTTGTTACACTCCCTCACATGACACCCATTGACTCACTCTCTCAGTGCCAACAAGACAGAACTGACTCATTGCTGACTATCCATTGGGTTTCCGAGGCTGTAAAACACACAAGAGCCAGGGAGATGGGCCATCTTTCTCCCCTAAGGAGCTGCTGATGGCTTCCAACCACAAGAAAGTTAACCTTTGGATTAGCAAGTTTTCCCTATATGTCCAAGTTCCATTGGCCAAATTTCTGCTACTCTTTTCCATCTCTGTGACCCAGAGGTTAATTTAGCCCAGGTGAAAGGAGTAAGGTAGAAGGGTAGAGGGTCAGGTCTGCTGCCTATGGAGAGAGTGACTGAAGGATTGACAAAGATGGAGAACAATTGGAATCTCATGCTGAAGCTTGGCCTGCTGGGATTTTTTTTTAGCCAAAGTTAACAAGGCCTACTTTTAGATAGCAAGTGACAAAAGATTTTTTCCTATCACCCTAAAAGATGTGGTACAGGTTGAAGATGTAAGTAGTTCTACTAAAAGTTAACTGCAGAGTAAGAGTAGGGTGGTCTAATGGGTAAGGAGTTGTGACGCCAATCCAAAAATATACAGTTAAGACCCACTACCTGCTCCTTGGGATAAAGGTGGGCAATCTCCTCCTGTGTGATTTATAGCCTCTGAAACCCCACTGCGCAGTCAGCTCTGAGTTGGTTCTGACTCGATGGCAATAATTGTGTGTGAGTGTGCAGAGTGAGAGCCATTCCTAGTTCTTCTGGGTAGAGAAAGGCATTCCATGGTTTAACCAGCTCGTGAAACAGCACACTTCCTTTCTCCTTTGAGAGTGCAACATATATTAGACAATGACCTCTGAGAACTCCAAGTTCTAAAACAGACTGAATTTTTCGGAACCCAAATTCTCCCAAGATTTACTTGCCCATAGTCAAGTACTGGGGCACCTCACAGAACACCAGACCCAAGGAGAAGCAGCAATTTGAGAAACACTGGTTTCCACGGAGGCATTGTCAGTGTCTAAGAGGCTAGGAGGGTATTAGGAGGCTTGGGGAGTCAGTCCCTGAGTGGTGTAAATTGTTAGCACACTCAGCTGCTAAGCAAAAAGTTAGAGGTTAAAATCCACCAGAGAGGTACCTTGGAAGAAAGGCCTGGCAATCTACTTCAGAGAAAAATTCAGCCCTTGAAAAGTCTGTGGAGCACAGTTCTCCATGGAATCACCATGAGTTGGAGTCAATGGGACCCAGGTAGGGAGTTTGGAGGGTGCTCTCTTGACTCTGAAGGCGGCTATGAGGGGATGATGAGCAGCTGCTCCCAGCTTTGAGTATGCTGGCTAGATGCTGGAGCTGAGCCAAGGAATCAGTGTTTTACAAATGGAAACTTATGTACCTTGTAGCAGCCCAATGTCCCATCATCTCTGTATGTCCATTCTTCCTTCTCAGCAGACGCCCCTCAAATACCACCCTCCTGTCTGTTTCAGCACACTGCCGCCGGGGCGGAGGGCGGAGGCCAGTCCCTGGTCTCACCTGGCTCTTGCCTAGAGGACTTTCGGGCCACTCCTTTCATCGAGTGCAGTGGTGCCCGGGGCACCTGTCACTACTTTGCCAACAAGTACAGCTTCTGGCTGTCGACAGTGGAGAAGAGGCAGCACTTTGGGGCGGAGCCGGTGTCTGAGACACTGAAAGCCGGCCAGCTCCATACTCGGGTCAGCCGCTGTCAGGTGTGTATGAAAAGTCTGTAAGGTGGCACCTGCCGCCCTGCACCCTGTCCTCCCCTCTGCTTCACACCTCCCAAACCAGAATGGTCCAAAAGAAGGAAGACCCTTTTGCCCATGTCACATGTTACTCTGGAATCTCCAATGGGCTGCTCGTTGGACTCTGATCATCCCAACACTCAGGTGCAACAGACGAGCCCACTCCGCTGAGCTCTGCTGTCCTGTTTCATTCAACCTGGTGCTACCATTGATTTGGATGTTTGCGTGACTATTTGTGGCTACCTCAGAGAGGCTTGTGGGGACAACCACTTTCTTAGACCACTAGCTTGCCTCACTGTCTTAATCAGAAAGCTCTTTATAAGCACTAACACATCATGTCTTCATGTTCAGGGGTCACCACATATTATTTTACTTCAACTAGAACCTAATGTTTCCATATTAAAAATAGTAATAATTGCCTTCTGAACATTCATGGATGTGCCAATCTGCAATTGGCCAAGTCCTGATCATTCCGGAAAGCCTGCTGTGTCTAAACATGTAACAGAACTAGAAAAAGGTACCCAGCAGTAGCCTGCGATGAGCTGTGACTCCTTTCCCAGTGAGAAGAGTCCCCATATTGCTTAGGGAGGCTGGAAAACCAGAAGCTGAGTGGTGCTCATTAACTTCAGATGGTCCTAGGCAAAGCACTTCCTCCTCACTGGCCATCTCCCCAGCCAGAGACAGAGAAGGTTTGGCCTGGTCCAAAGCAGAGCAGAAGATATAGCAACTGTGGCCAAAATCCATTAAAGGCAATCAGAAGTGTAGCTCTTTTTCCCTGGGCTGGCAGAGGACGGGTGAGGAGAGAGCAGTGGATGGGTAAGGAGGTGTGATTTTTGCTTTTAACTCCAGGAACAAAACAGTAGATCCCCTTGTCCCAATTTTTCCTCAGAAGTCCTGTTTCATTCCAAATGCCATCCAGATGTGTGCACTGTGGCAAATCAAAGCTGCAGTGTGTCAGTTCCCCTGGGTTTTGAGGCTGCTAGAGACATGCCATTAAAATGTGCATCTAATTAAGGTGCACATCTAATTGCTCTTTCACAGGTAGCCTGTTAAATGATTTGAACCCGTTTGTAAAACCTCATGAAAATCTAGCCCACTCCTCTTCTTAGCAGCTAGCAGACCTGAAGCAAACCTGAGTTGACAGTAAAGTGTATCATATTTGGGGGGAGGGCATGCATTTGTATTTAACCATTTAATTACCACTTTTTCAGAAGACTCTTGGATGAGGTGACAGGAGGCTTTTTTCCCCAGGTGATTCTGTTTCCTTAAGTATTACGTAAATGGTGCCAACGCAGAGTATAAGAATTATTATCTGCACTGTTGTTACTTTCACCTACTATTTGAGTAAAAAGTATAACAGTTTTGTACACAGCTAATAAAAAAGCATGACATCCGAGCCCTTGTCTCTTTTGGCATTCTTTGATGAACATTTTTCTAAAGCCTGTCTCACACGAACAAACAGGTCTGTCTTGGACAGGGTGAAACCAAGTTTCTCCTTGGAGGCAAGGATTTTAAAGCTGTCTCACATACTTTGGACACCGGTCCTTGGAGAAGGACATTATGCTTGGCAAGATAGAGGGACAGCGCAGGAGAGGAAGACCCTAGACGAGATGGATTGACACAGTAACTGGGGCAATGGAGGTAAATGTGTTGGAGATGGTGAGATTGGCTTAGGACAGGGCAGGCTATAGAGCTGTTTTTTGTACATAGGGTTGCTATGAGTCACAGGCAACTGGATGGCACACCACAACAACTACTTATATTTAAAAGTAACTTAGGAGCAGAGATGGGGACGTAACAACTACAATAGCTCACACCACCATTTATGAGTTGCCCCCCCCCCTCAGATCATAAGTGGTTCTTATTACTTTGAGCCAAGTTCTATAACAGGAGATCGAGGTAGGACCATTTTAGAAGACGATCAAAGCCAAAGGACTTCAATAAAGAATCTTGCTTCAAGATAAGCCAACAACTACTTTTATCCCCATTATAGGCTACAGTTGAAGAAAGGAGTTTCCCTACATATGTTGTCTTGGGACCGTTTGCAGAAAAAAGTAGGGAAGATGTTAAAATCAGTTATATCAAACATATATATTCTGTATCGTTTTCTATGTTTATGATATTATGTGCACAAGTCATATGATAAAACAATGCACGGCTGTCTAGTGGGAATCAACTCATAGATGACCCACCAGCAAGCTCTCACAGGCTGTTAATCACACAGGAGGACACTGCCTATCTCTTTCCCACAGAGCGGCTGGTACTTTGGAACCACCTACCTTTGGGTTGGCTGCACAACTCCCTACCCACTAGGCCACCAGGGGAACCAAGTACATTAATATTCCTAAATATACACAAAATCATACATACATTTAAAAAGATCTCTGGGTGATACAGTTTGAGATCAGCTACTAACTTTGTTGAGTGCCATTGAATTAATACTGATTCTTAACTATAGCACATGACAGTAGAACCACCCCATAGAGTTTTCTTGTATTGCAATGGGAAAGTCTGCTGTTAGGGACCTCTCCAGGGTACTGAAGAGCAATGGTGTCACTCTGGAGACTAAGGTGCGCCTGATACAGGCCATGGTCTTTGCAATCACTTTCTATGCATCAAAGAGCTGGACAATGACTGGGGAGGATAGAAGGAGAATTGATGTCTTTGAGCTGTGGTGCTGGAGAAGAATATTGAATGTACCATGGACTGCTAAGAAAACGAACAGGTTCATCCTGGAGAGGGTGAAATTGGGCTGCTCCTTGGAGGCAAGGATTCTGGGGCTTCGTCTGACATACTTTGGACATGTTGTAAGGAGGGACAAGGACATCATGCTTGGGAGGGTGGAGGGACAGCGCAGGAGGGGAAGGCCGTCTAGGAGGTGGATTGATTCAGTGGGTAATCAGGGTAGGTGCGATTGGCACAGGACAGAGCAGAGTTTAGGGCTATTGTACATAGGGTCGCTATGAGTCGCAAGCGACTCGATGGCACATAACCACCACCACCACAACAACAACAATCATTACAGAAGCAAATGGCTGAGTCTTTCTCCCATTGAATGGCTAAAGGAGTTTGAAGAGCTTAACCCCCAGTTCCACCAGATCTCCCTATCAAAAGATTGTTGTTGTTGTTGTTGTTATGTGCTGTTGAGTCAGGACTGACTCACCGCAGACCTTCAGCAGGTTTCAGAGGCTATAAATCACACAAGAGGAGATTGCCCTCTGAGCGACTATTCTCCCACTGATCAGCTGGTGGGTTAGAACTGCCAGAGAGGAGAAGATCTGAGGTTAACGGCACCACCAGAGCTCCCTAGAGCATACAGTTGTTGTTGAAGTTTAGTTTGAAGTACTTTAACCCCTGTACCACCAGATCCCCCTATCTAAAGGTGTTTGTTGTGTACCATTGAGTTGGAACCAACCCATTGCTGACCCAGCTGGTGGATTCGAACCATGAGCCTTCGGTTTTGCAGTGCAGCTTGTTACCACTGGGCCACCAGAACTCCCTAGAGCACACAGTAGGAGCTCTAAAATGTTTAGAGGTCTGGTTTTAGCCTTTAGTGCATATAAAGCAGTACTTTTCAAGCTGGCAAGACTCTCTCAGAGGAAAACACGGGCAGACTATTTTGCATGCCTTTGGCATCTGGCGTTGGCAGTGCAACTCCTACCGACCAGGCCACCAGAGCTCCCACCTAAAGGTTAGTAGCATAACACGAATCTCCTGGAAAGAGAAACAAGAAATAAATAGCATGGGGAGCTTTCAGGGAAGGAAACTGGTGTGGAGGAGGAGGAGGTCCTGAATACCATTAATTAGCTTTTGCATTTTTAACCACTGGAATATACTGCTGCGTAAGGGGGGGGGGAAGAGAGAGATGAAATATAAGAAACCACAAAAAAAACCACACCCAAAACCCAAAACACCTCATTGCTGTCATGTCAAACTCAACACATAGCCAATCCTCCCACTGGGTCTCTAAGGCTGCATAGCGCACAGGAGGAGATAGCTCATTGTTCTCCCAGCAGAGGTGCTGGTTGCTGGTGGGTTCAAAACATCAGAGAGGCACTGCCTTTGTGAGCACAACTCTCTATGGACTGTGTCACTAGAGGAACCATGTAGATTAACATTCCTAAACATACCAAAAATAGCTTGGTGCTAGCTTGCAAACCCTAGCTGCTGGGCTCCCTCAGGACTTGGCTGAGTAAGAGGAATTGAAATCTATAGAAGCTGAGAAAGCACGGACAGACAAATGGCAAGATATTCTTACTAGAACTTGAGGTGCAACCCCACAGTAGAGCAGTTAGCAAAACTAATTAGATCAGTAAGTGTTCCAAAGCTTTCTAAGTTGCTAGTCCTTAAATAGCTTGCAATCATATTATTTGATGCACATATCAAAATATCACTGCACCAATAAATCTTTCTAAATATGACTGTCAACAAAAACCATGTATAATTCAAACGCAATTTATTGTTCATTTCATAAACAAACAAAAAAAATCAACCATTTCAGTCAATAATTGGCAATGTATGCTCTGCAGGCCAAACCTGGCCCACCACATCTTCTTGTAAATAAAGTTTTATTGGATTACAGCCACGCTCATTTGCGTGCATATTGGCTATTGGCCGCTTTTGCGCTACAACTGCAGAGTTGAGTAGCTGTGCCAGAGGCCGCGTGGCCTGCAAAGCCTAAAATAAAACTATCTGGCCCTTTACAGAAGTTTGCTGACCCCCTGGTTTAAGCAATTATGATTTAAGGACAGGGTGAGAGCTGACAAAAGTTTCTGAAAGGACAGCAATGGTGAACCATCAATTAGCAGGGTTCTCCCTAAAAGGGAAGGAGAACAAGAAATGTACATTTGACATCATTTGTCTGACACACACACCGATATAAACTGTGGTGGTCATCTAAATACATATGCAAGTTTAACAAGAATTATCTTCTCCCTGGTTCAGTCACACTACTGGTAGAGCAAGAGAACAGGTTTGTTCTTTGGATTTAGCCTGGAAGATGTCACACCTGAAAGGGTGAAGAAAATGGAATAACAATCTCTCATCTGCTGGT